TTCGTAATTAATTTCGTAATTACGTATTACGTATTACGTATTACGTTTTTGGCAAAATAATTACCATAGCATGTATACTCAGACCCATATGTGAGAGAAGTAGATAAAAATCTATATGTTGATCCAGGGCAAAAATGTGTAAAAATCGATGAAGTGAAGTATTTCTCTTCTAAGATAACATAACTAAAATATCCACAAACAAAAAAATAACGTGATTTTAGATCTATTAATACCATAAAATTATCTTTATTAAAAAAAAAATTTTTTATCTAATAAAAAAACAAACTTTACTAAGTCTTGGGGAATAATTTACAGGAGAGTTAAAATAATTTTCTTTATTTATAATTTTATTAAAGATTGTATCAATAATAATATAATTGTTTTCTTGTAGTGGGCAGGAAATTAGATCAACCAAAAGCAAGTTGTTAATATTAAAATAATTGTATGATAAATTACTTGTAATTTGCTAACATTTTATCAGCTACATCTCTTTTCATTTCTGCTGAGTATCTAGAAACCCAATTACATATAGTTTCTACCTTAGGAATTTCATCATGAGAAAGTTGGGTATTATGAACAGATTCTTCAATAAGTTCTTTATGCATATCCTCCAGTGTGAACCTTTGGCTCTTATCATAATAATACAAAGCAAAAATTTTCTACTATTTAGTTCAGTTAAAATTGTCATGCCTAAACAAATAGGGTAAAATTCTAACCATTTTCAGTAGAAATTTCATGCCACCAGTGATGAGCAAAAGGTCCATAGTGTAATTAAAGTCAATTATTCTTTGAGATGCAAATGTCGGTGAAACTTCTTTACGTTTAGGCATTTAAATAAAAATTTTATATTTATACAATATGTACAAAAAATTTTTTTTAATATATGAATGCAGCTAGCTAAAAATTTGATTTGATATAAAAGTATGTCTGATATAAAAAAAAAAAAATTTGAGATATGAAAGAATAATAAAGAATTATATGGACGTGTCTGGATTCAGAAAATGTGACTTTTTATTAATATTAACCCCGTTTTTTATTATTAAAAAATATGCCGATCATCTACTTCTATCACGTATCACGAATTAATATAGAAAAGCAGCCTCAGGAAAATGTCACACGACTAATAATGAGTAAAAAAGTAACGATTTACAGTTGTACAATTCATTAAACCTAGGTACTAATATTACTGATGCTTCATCACTTCTTCAATTTCTTCAACAATAGATGCAATTATTTCTCCAGGTAAAAATTTTTTTTTTGAATTTTACAATATTTATACTATATAAATAAATATAAAATAAAAAATATTTTTGTAAATAAAATTATAAAATATACATTAAAATAAAGTTTTTTCATTTATTATATATAATGTATTTGATTCATTATTATAGATTCGAACCGGTCAGTTTGAATCAAATCAAATCAGTTCAAATCAAATTATATATTCGAATCAGTTCGAATTGTATCAAATCAATCCGAATTCGAATCCGTTCGAATCAAATTATATATTCGAATCTGTTCGATTCGATTTCGTTTTGAATGAAACGAATCAAAAATTAAGTGATTCAATTCGATTCGAATTCGAAACAGTTCGAATTGGTTCGAATTTCATTGATTCGTTCGGAGCCTTAATTAGCAATCTTTTTTCAATTTCTTTAGAACATATAAAAAATTTTTTTTTTATTTTGCAAGAAAAAAAACTCTCTATAACTTAAAAGCTTGATATATTTTCTATAATTTCCCTTGGTTTCATGTTTGTATCTCTTTAGCTGAAAGCTCTGATACAATTTTTATTTATATAGTTTTTATATATATTCTTATTTTTTTAAAAAAAAGTTTGTTATTGATCGACATTACGTTGCATCTCACACAACTCTAGTTTTGTCGTATTTGGTCATGTAGTTCAAAATATTGTAACACATAAATTATTATTGCATTTCTGAGCATATATGATATTTCCTCCTTTTGGTGCTAAAATATGAATCATTTTTATGCAAGTACATTTATTTATTTTGCTATAATTATTTCAAATGGTTTTTCCAATGGCAATAATTCGGAATGCTTTATCATCAAATAATACTAATGATGACAAAAGATCAATAACTGATAATGGCTGCGAGGAAGTAATTGATTATTATGATAATGAACCAGTAACTCCACGAGAATTGAAGGCTTGGTATTTACAAAACATGGCGGTAAATTCTCTTTCCTTCTTTACTTCTACCTTGTTTAATTCTCTATAAGAATATTCACATTTTATCTACTCTTTAATTCATCATAGATTGAACCATATGGAGTAGCAGCAATATCGATATTGACACCTCTCATATTAGAAAGTTATGCTAGCCAAACAGGGTTTAAAGCTAGTGATATAAATATCCCATGTGATGTTGTAAGTATTTATAGTAAAATAATTTGTGTGATGTAGTATTCTAATTTTATTTTTCCATATAATAGACTGAACCAAATTATAATTGCATTACAAAATTTGGTAGTGGTTATGTGAATACTGAAAGTTACTCATTCTATGTTCTAGCAATTTCTGTTGTATTACAAGCTTTTGTATTTATTAGTTGTGGAGCTTTGGCTGACTATGGAAGTAAGTATAAAAGTTTGTGCACAAGCTTGAGTTTATAACTGTGAGTATTAAACTAATAATTTGAACCTTTTTCTGATTTTCATTCAGAATACAAAAAATTTTTTTTATTGTTTTTCTCTTATTTGGGTGGATTTAGTCTAGTTGGTTTTATATTTGTCTATGAACCAGGTATGATTTATTAATTAATATGTTATTTATTAAATATGATTATTTATTAAATATAAAATAATATTTTTAATTAATTTTAGAATTAAATTGGTTAGCTGCTACTTTCACCATAATTGTGTAAGTTCCAATTAACAAATTCACATTTATTCCAAAAGAATCACATCATTAATTTTAAATCTCAAATTAAATAGAAATTTATGTTTTGGAGCAGTAAATGTATTCTTGCTAGCTTATATTCCAGTCTACTCTCGACTTCTACCTAATGTCATAGAAGCAAGGAATGATCCTAACAAAGGCTATCATGAAGTTGAAACCTTGATAGAATACAATGGAAACAAATTATCAACTAATGCTATAGGTACAGGTGTAGCTACTGGTATAATTCTGTTGGCAATATGTGCTGCTATTGCTGGCTTAATGGATGCTTCTATACTTAGTCTTAAAATTGGATGTCTAATAATTGGTGCTTGGTGTTTATTCTTATCAACTTTTCCTTTATTATGGTTAAAAAATAGGAGTGGCCCTCCTTTACCAAGGTTTGCTTGCAAATTATTAAGAAAATTTTTTGAGAAGCATGAAAATGCAAATTTCAAAGCTCTTTTAATATTTCTAATATATATTCATATATATTTATTTAGTAATGAAAATATATTTTTATATTCAATTAAACGTGTTTTCATGACATTATCAAAAACACGTCAACTTTGGCAAACTATGAAACTTTTATTAGCCTGGTTCATAATTAGTGATGGTTTGAATACAATTTCATCAGTTGCAGTTATCTTTGGTAAAAAAGTATTTAATTTGTCATTTGCTGAATTGTTGACTGGTGCATTATTAGTGCCACTTATGGCAATCATTGGTGCATATCTATTCTTATTCATGCAACAAAAACTAAGTCTATCAACAAAAACAATGGTTCTAATTGTTTGTGGACTTGAAGCCTTATTACCAATTTATGGATTGTTTGGTTTCTTTGCTCCTTTTGGTTTAAAAGAAAAATGGGAGATTTGGTTATCTGTTGTTTTTTTTGGTTTGATGCTTGGTGCTGCTCAGAGTTTTTATAGAGTTTTATTTGCAAGTTTGATACCTAAAGGTCATGAAAATGAATTTTTCTCTTTGTATGAAATTACTGATAAGGTAAACATTATTTTAATATTATTATTTGTATGTAGAATAACCAATTAAAAATGTTTTTAATTTAATTTAGGGCTCTTCATGGATTGGTACACTTTTAACTGGAGTTATTAATGATCTAACTGGTAATTTACGTTATACTTATTTTGTTTTGACAATTATGTTGGTGTTACCTTTATTGCTTATAGCTACTGTTGATGTTGAAAAAGGAAAAATTGATGCTGAAAATTTTTCAAAAAGAGAATATAGTAAAGAAATTAAAATTGATAACAAAGATGACAATGATAATACATTGGACATTGATATTAAGAATAATAATTTAAATTATTGTAAATAAAAATTTTAAAGACAATGATAAAAATATCTGTACTCCATATTATTTTTGAATTGGGATAAAAAAATCATATCCCTTTTTCCTTCATTCAATCTTTTATTTTGAAATATCCTGCAGATCAATGGGGAAGTTTTGAAATCTTCAAAAAATATCGAACCAAAAAATTTCTCAATATATGGGGAGTTCAAATAGTTTTGAAAATATTGTTATAAAGATTAGGCATTCTTATCTTTCAAAAAAAAAGTTTGAATTTTTTGGTCTGTTAATTAATAAGGTATTTAAAAATATCCAATAAAAATTTATTTTTTGTGCACTGTGAATGGATACTATATGTCTAAATTTTTTTATTTACATATTAACTCATTCCCTCAAAATATTTCCCTTAACTTTTATACAATGTCTCAGTCTCATATGCCAATTTTGAAAGCAATTAAAATGTTCTTCTTGTGGTATGTATCTGTTATTGATTTTACAGCATGTGCAAGGTCTTGAATCCTCTCAAACCTCTTCCCACCAAGTTCTTTCTTAATTTTAGAGAACAAAAGCAAACCACAGGGGGGTGGGGAAGCATTACAACTCGTTCTTTTTGCAGATATTTAGTGACAACCTTTGCCTTGTATGGTGCTGTTGTTGTAGAGAATTTCTTTCTTTTGAGATTGAAAAGACAATCAAGGACCATAAATATCTAAAACGTTAGCATATAATCACCAGAAACATTAAAATTTTATTCCAAATTAATTCTTTACCTATTAAAGTATCAGCAAAACTTCTTAAAGAAGCATCTATCGTATCTATTAAATCTACTCCTCGTTTACTATTCTATTTGTGGTTTCTATGTCAATGTTATGATCATTAAATAGTATTTTTATTGCTGAGTTCCTTGCATTCACGATCTTTCTCAAGTTATTAAAAAAGTTATTATTAAAACTCAAGTTCGTTAAAATGAAATAATCAATCGGAATTTGGAGAGAGCAAATTTACTTACAGTATTATTTGCACTAAAAGAATAAATAAAATTAAAAACATAATTAATAAAAAATTAGAATGATGACGATGCGTTTCAACGATCACGATCACGACCACCACCATTATTCTTTTTAAATAACTGGAGTGACGACGAGTGGTGATGACCACCACCATTCTTACGATAAGCACTTATCCTAACGCACCAGAACCATCTTGTCTTCTTCTTTGTTGTTGAAGCTGACGTGAAATTTTATTAAAAATATTTAATATTAAGAATTATTTATGTATGATTTTTTTTTGTTGACGCGATTATTTTTTTTTTTTTTTGGAAAAACAATCTATTTTTCACAAGATAACAAAACGCGAGTCTCCTAAAGAAGACGTGCTAATGACAGAGATACTATTTTTTATTTGTATTGATATAATATGGTGTCTTTTGGCTATTATAAATATTTTAAAATCTTGCTGGGTAATTATAAGATCCTTATCAAGATGATAACAAATGAACGATTGGTATTTTTCCTTGCGTAATCGTTAATAATAATATCAATATTAATATAAATATAAATACAAGATGTCAAGACAGCACACCACTGAAAAAGAAACAATTCAAACATTTCGATATGTGATGTTTGATTATCGGAAATTTTACAATTGTCAAGACATGCACGCTATATACCTTGAACACATTACAGTCATTCACACATCTTCCTCATATACATAATGCTAATCTGACCAAGATTTCTATGATGATACAATGATGCAACTGAATTCCAGGGAGGCGCATGGAATGCATCAAAGCTGCACCAATCGTCAAGGATGTTTTCACTGATCTTCCCAGACCAGAGAAGGCTTGCCATATTAGACAAAAAGTCGCCCTGTGACCAAGTTGCAACTCTGCAGCAAAGTTGTGATATTAGGTGCACATAAACATCAAAGCAACGAGAATCTACAACTTGTTTCAAGTACATGAGGTTACAATTCAGGGCAGGATTGGTGGCCCTGAAATTGCATTTGGGCTTTGATGTTAAGAGGAAAGTTGTAAAATAGTGTTTGTTTTGTATAATTATTTTCCTAAATTCTCTGTTTCTTTAATACTAACCAATTTATAATTGTGGGTAGGGGTTTTTGCCCTGTCCTGTAGATTAAAATTATCGCATGTTTTATATAGAACCTGAATTAGCAGATCATAGATGCCACTTCCAAATTAGGAAGGTCTTATATATATGGTGATCAGTGTGTAAATTTCAGTGTGTAACTAATGCAGATTTCTACAAATTTAGAAACTATCTGCAGAAAACTGCTAATGTACGATGTTACACCCGCACATTCCGCACATTGAATTTTATACACTGATGGTGATATATACATATATAGGAATTTTCCTTAATATTAAAAATGTGTAATTGGAAAATGGCCTATTTCCCAAATTTTTTATTGGACATTCTAAATTTTATCAGAATGCCCGGGATTTTATAATACCCTGGTCTTCATCACTTTTTGATGCTATTACCCTTGTTGTGTGTTTAATCAAATAAAAATCGTTGGTTATTTAGTCATCTGCAATCATTTATCAGCCAGAAGTGAAATTGGATTGGACAATTCTTTGGATGCAAAAATAATAATTTTATTATTTGTATTTCAAATTCAAGTATGTTTTAAGGATATATAAAGTAAATTACAAATCAAGAAATAAGTATGTTTTAAAAATTATTAAAATTCAGGGTATATTTTTTTAAGTGTATATTAGGATATCTACATTCCTATTGCTGTAAAAAATAAGAATGTTTTAATTGTAAAATAAGTATATTCATACATATTTTTCAAATATTTATTGAATCATCTTTTTTGATTTAAGTATGTTTTGTGAAAATAAGTAGGAAATAAGTATCTAAACTTTTGGGTGTGAAATTGAAATATTAAATTTTTTTTGAAATTTTTCTTAAAATTAAACAAAATAATATTATTCTGATTGATAATAAAGTTAAAAATACATATATGTTTTATAATTTTGACTATTTAATAAAGTTTTTTTTCAAAATTTTTTCTTTTAGGACATTTATCAGGAATTCCATATTTGCATATTCTCTGTCTGTATATTACAACCTAATTACAATATGACATTATGTTTGATTTTGGCATTACAGCTATCATTAAAATGTCATAATATTATGACATTCACAAATCAATTTGGGCTGCATCTATATCAACCATATTATATGTCCTTTGTCCAATTAATTTCTTTATTACATTAAAACTTTCACAATTATTAAGTTTATTTACAAAAGACTTTATTTTATAGATAATATATACAGCAATGGATGTGTTACCGGAATTTAGATTTTGACGCAGATCTTTTGGTCGAATCTCATAATTCCGGGTCAATTTAAATTTTATTTCATTTATTTTTTAATTTCATTTTATTTCTATCATATCCTCTAATTATTTATTAATAACTTGTACATCTAAAACCGACCAATTTTGTGCGTATTTTTGAAGCCTATCATGTGGACACATAAAGCACTTTTGGATTCAAACTCTCATAGTTTTATGTAGTAAATGCCAAAGAATAATTCTAAAGTTGTGGCAATTTTAATTTGAGTGACTTAAATAATTGATAAAGGACGAACCATTAACAAGCTTGCCATTTGTTCATTTCTTCTTATCGAGTATGCCATCACTTACAAAAAGGCAGAAACATTTAAAAAATTTGTCTCTAAGAAAAAAAGACTTTTCGAAAGTTGTTCTTCACGATAATGAAATTGAAAATGAAAATGATAACGAAGATAATGAAGATAATGAATCAATTAATGAAAATGATAATGAATCAAGTAACGAATCAATCAATGAAAGTGATGATGAATCAAGTAACGAATCAATTAATGAAAGTGATGATGAATCAAATAGTAATAGTGATAATGAAATAAGTTGGGATACAGATTTAGATTCTAATTGTAGTTATTTTGTGAAAGTCCTTCAAAATGAAATAAATAATTATAAGCCTTCTGCACGTCGTTCTGTCTACTTGGGAAATGCACCACGAGCTAGGCGATTTCATGCTGCACAAGCTAAAAAAACATCTGAAGATAATGGACAAATGATTTACAAAAAATTGTTCCTGAGGCAAATAAATCTTTTAAATATATGGAATATTATAGACAAGGATTAGATGCAAAACAGGCTGAATATGCCTTTAAAAAAATACAAACGTCATCGTATTATTCCAAATAATATTTTAAATAATTTAGATGTATATATTAATAAAGTTAATTTTCAGTGTAACATAATTTGGAATTTTGCCGCTGATCGACAAAGTGGTCGGTTTTAAGATACTCGAGCTGTTTAATTATTTATTATCGTTTGAATTCTGCGTATTTAATTATTATTAATCAATCCGTAGCACATTCATATTTATTTAACTTTATTTAGTAGAGATTAATGACGATTCTCCCGAACCGGGCTAAGAACTCAATTTCGACCTGATGTAAAAGTCTTTGTTACAAGTTAATTAGTTTCGACTAAATAAAACTAAATAAATAAAATAGAAATATTTTATTTAAAACTTTTATCTTCTTTAAACAAATTATTTGCTAATCCAAAATCAATTCATTGATCCCCTATTCATTCTGATCCACACAAAAAAACAATTGTTATCACCAATTAAAAATACGCTCTCCCAAAATTTAATCGGTGACAGATGCAATGTGTAAAAATTTAGAAATACATGTGGTCACATGACAGATTTGTTTGTTGAATCAAAAAAAATCTTATGAAAACATGAAAATTAGAAGATTAACAATTACTGTATATAAAAGTTTCTTTTTCTTTTTTTTATCTAGGATGATATTTTTTTCAATTGTACTAAGAATGCGGTATGATTTGTTGGTGTATGAGAAGGTCGACAAATATAAGCTAATGCTTTTTCTGGGATCATATTATTATTATTTATTAAATGTTTCACTGAGAAAAAGGTAGGCAATGATGAATCCAAAGAATCAGATGAAGAACTATCATTATTACTATCATCATCATTATTATTCATTTTACTTCTAATTACAGTTGCTTTGACTTCCCATGGTCGCCATTGCACCTCCAAAACTTGTTCAACTGCCAAACCAATCCTTTCATTGTTACTTCTAATTTTAATCGATTTGACCAAATTTAAAACTTGGGTCATATTAGGAAGATAACATATAATGAAACAATCTATCTTTAATTGTTTTACAATAGTTGGTAGATCATTCCATGGTTCTGGCATGTCTAACACTACACCATCATATATTTCCAATGGAGATAAAGGTGATGCTGAAGAGGAAAAAGATAGTGGTGGTATTGGCAATGCTTCTGATGATGCCTCTTTTTTACTACCATCATCAGCAATTTTTAAGATTTCTGAACATGACCCAGTACTAAAATTAATGATATCATAATACAATCCACGTGAAAAATTCCTAATGTTTTTTTGAGCTTTTTTTGTATAGTCCAGATTAATGTCTATGGTGTGAATAGTTCCAGTTGGATATAGAGCTCGTGCTAGATATAATGTCAAAAACCCATTACCAGTTCCACTTTCTAAAATTTTTGAATATGGATGTAAATCAAGCAAACCTATCTATATGCAATAAATATGTGGTGTATGTATATTTATTACCATTATTTGATTATAGATGATTGATTATTGTTAGATCAAATTAAATTTTATAACATTACAATTGTGTTGGCATCCTTTGGATAAATTGGAGTTGTATGTCTTCGATACATTAGAATATACCTTTTGTGAGAGAGAGAGAGAGATTGTGTGTGTGAAAACAGGGTATATAGAAAAAATAATTAAATAAAATATAAGGAAATCAAAATCATACTCATCCAAAGTTGGAAAATGAATTGTAAATAATTTATCTAAATACAAAAAATGAATGAACAAAACAATAAATAAAAATTCCGATATGATTTTTTTTTAAAAAAAAACACCAACACTTCAATAAATGATAAATTCAATACTTGTGTGAGTTAATATACGAGATCTTGGTGGATTTCCAATAATAGAATCATGATAAATAATTCCTTTATGTGTATCATGTTTTCCATTTTTATTCAAAGGACCAATTAAAATTGTTCTTGGTGCGTGATTATTTTTTGACAAGGATAATGAAGACTGATCACGTAATATTACCATATCTCCTTCTATAAATTTAGATCTATCTACTTTGGTTTTAGAGAAGGGAGAGGGAAAGGGCCGGAGAGCATTAATTGTTGTAGAATATTTCAAAATAAAAGATTGAATAAAAGAAAAAGAGATGTGATTATTTGATTTCTTTAATAAAATTGGTTTATTTTTCAAGTATTTTGAAAGAAGCATTTTTTTCCAATTCAAAAATTCGTCATTACCCTAAAAAATTAGTGCAGAACCTCATAATAATTGTATTACTAGTCGTGTGACATTTCCCTGAGGCTGCTTTTCTATATGGTGCGCCGTATCTAAAGACATCAAATGCTGCGCCTCATGCCGAAATTTTTAACACCGATCTTTCCTGATTAAG